CAAGCAGATAAGGTCAGACGTGTTCGAGCCTGTACTATTCTTCTCGAATATCAACGCAAAGTTAAAGTTCTGGACCAGATAGTCACTTGTGTTGAAAAATAAATTTATTTCAACAACATAGGCCAAAAATTTAGTTGATCTGCGCCCGTGAGTCCGTCGGCAGCATCGTAAAGCGTAATTTGACTAACAAAAAGATCATTCTTTTGTATTTGGTGGGATTGCCGTGGTATTAATCACAAATAGTATATGGAAAAAGGTAAAACCCTTGACAGTAAAGGATACAACGAGATGCTAGTGCATGTTGACGCTGCTATCAAGGAAAAGAGTCGAATTGAGTTCCGGCGCAGAAAGGTAACGTTCCATCAAGATAATACCATACGTGTCTGCATTCACCGGCTGGCCTCTGTACGGACTCGAAAGGGATCTTTCACCACATCCCACCATATAACCCCGACATCGCACGTTCGGACTTCTACCTTTTTTCAAACTTGCAGCTACATCTTGCTGGTCCTATCTTCCATTTTGCACAGGACGTCCGAAATGAGGTTGACCTGTTTTTGGACTCGGGCCACCAAGTTTCCGAGGCCGAAGGTTTTGAAAAACTACCAAAAAATTGGCAGAAAAGCATAGATTTTTGGTAGTGATTACTATCCCGCACTAAAGGTACTGACTGCTTTTTTTTTTTCATAACTTTATGAAGAACGTTCGTGCTTAAAATTTTCGTTACAACCATTAAATTCTGTAATTTATGAATTCCTTCCCACTTCTCATGTATTTATCAACTGTTCTTTATGAACCTGATATTCCTACAATTATCAGCTGTACTTTATAAATCTGATATGTAGAAACGCAATTTGATTTTATGCATTTCAGTATCAAGTGAAATCTTTAAATTATAACACTTTATTCCAGTAATCGTTCATTATAACACTTTATGTTGTTTTCATTCAAAGCTGAACTCAGATAATGTGCCGAGGTTGAACTACCAGTAATAGGCGACTTTAGCGCTCGCCCGCTAGAATTTAGAGAGGAACTGAGTGCTAGAATTGGGTTAGGCTCTTTGAATATAGCAAAGCCACGAGGTGGCAGATAGCAGATGCTTTCGTGGAGGAAGTTTCTGAAGGCTTAGTTTAGTTTATAGCAAAGCTCCCCATACACGTTACACACGGGGAAGATTATGAAAACGCCCATGTAGCCAGCCCGTTCGCCTTGATTCGAACCCAGGTCGGAACTACCAGTGTTCAGCGATTTAACCGCTCGGCCGCGGGTGAGCCTAATTGCTGAAGGAAACTGGGTCGTCGTATTCATGTTGCACAACAGGAAAACAAACCATGCAGCCAGCTGGTTCGCCTGGGATCGAACCGAAACCAGGTCGAACTTCCAGTAATCAATATTCTTAACCACTCAGCCACTGGCGGCGCGTGGCAGAAGTAAGAGCCATAAGAGCAGATAAGATATTGTAGTGAGCAGCAAAAACCTCTAATACTGGCTCTGGTTACTAGTAGAATTATATATTGGTAATAATCCAATCTACAGCAATGAAATTTCGGAGCATAATTGTGAAGTTAAATACGACACTCCGATAAACGTGATAAAGATGGAAAAATTTTTTAAAAAAGGAAACTTACTATGCAAATACATGTATTCATTAGTAAACATTTTATAAAATTTATTCTTAATTTAGCGTTTATGAATTCTCAGAGAATTATCTCATCGGAATTATTTTTTTCTCCTCTGGTAATCCAATATAATTGAGTAAATTTATGTGCTGTTAATATCTTTGCCTGTTATGTACATAGTTTTTTTTTTTTTTTTTTTTTTTTCCGTTCAAAGTTAGATAAAACTGAACGTACGTTACACTGAAATTACTTTGTCTAGAAAGTAAGCGCTTGAGTAGAAACAGATGTGGGGTTTTATTTTTAGAAGACATGAGATCACTTTCTGTAAAGTAATGTTATAAAATTTTGAATTTGAAATAATCGTACTTCGTTTTTAGTAGAGCAGAAGGATAAAGATTTAATGAGAATATAGCAAAGCATCTTTTTAGAGAACGCTGTTATAATTTTGCTATTTTATTTTTTTATGGTAGGTCAAGGAAAAAGGCAGGCTGCTAAATACGGTAACAGCACATTGCTCTGTTTCATATATAGCGAATCCGCTCTGAAATGAGGCACGAAGCGGTAAAGTAGCTGAACACCAGTATTTCGGTCCGAGTTTCGAATCCGCGAAGGGACTGGTTGCGCTTTCGTGGTTTTACCCTGTGTAACGTGTCTAGGAGCCAATTTCCCTTAGAAAGTCTTCCACGAAGGCATCCTTTCCCTTAGGCAGATAGATCGTACCGGTGTTTATGTTATCAACAGTACTGGTTATTTTTAAAAATGATCATCCTAGAAAGGTGATTGCCAAAAAGTATTCACTTCGCATTATTTATACGTTATGCATGAATATACTCTTTTTAGTCAATCTAATATATATATAAATTACTAATGCTTTAAAAAAATTCAATTTTCAATATTCTGTTTCCTATTTGTTCCTGTTCAATGAAACAGATTCATACACAGCAAATCCAAATGCATCGCTACAGGAAGATGATAAACCAGCACAGTACGTAATTACAGTTACATCCGGAAAAGAGTAGATATACATATAAATACATAATATATATATATATATACGGTATACAACGATATACAATATATATATATATATATATCGTTTTTTAGTTAAGATGTATCTATTAAGTGCGTATATGATATTTTGGTACAATTTATTGGAATATTAACGTTATAATATATTAATTTGAATGACTCAATTTTATTACGTAGAATTTTATGGATATTATCTGATTCATACATTTATCTCATATATATTTCGTTTTTAGGATGTATCTATATATGTATCATTTTACTTTATTAAAATAATATTCAATTTTGTAATTTAGGAATTTCTTCTCCCTTATCATGTATTATCAGCTTGTACTTTATAAACCTGATACCCCTTCAATTATCAGCTGTATTTTATAAACCTGAAACATAGAAACGCAATTTGATTTTATGCATTTCAGTATCAAGTGAAATATTAAAACTGATTGTTCATTATAACACTTTATGTATTCATTCAAAGCGGATCTCAGATAATGTGCCGCAAATTATTTCCACACTAAGTTTTTTGTGCAAATAATACGTCCTGCTAGTGTTTTTTGTAATAAAATGCATGTTATTAATTGATTTCGAATTTTCGTTGCATCTTGATATTGCTGCCAAAAGATATTCAATCAACAATAGTATCTTTTACTACGTTTATGTGTGTGGATACATAGACCATTTCTCCGTGTACTAGAAAAATTTGATAATGATTTATCCACTTTTGAAGTAAAAAAATAATAGTTAGGAGTGTTATACGATTTTATAATACAAGTAAAAAATATATATAAGCTCTGGAAAGTGCTAACACATATTTATGGAATATTATGGATGGTAATTTATGAAATATTATGGATGGATGAGTAAATGGAATATTATGTGCATTGCTATATATGTATACACATATCATCAAGTATAAAATCATTTATATATAATTTTTATGTCGCGATGAAATTTGTTTTCTTCCGCAAAATAACGGCAAATTATGAAACATTACGCAACATTGAAAAGCGTGATGAACAAATTTTGCGAAAAGAAATAGCGACTGCTGCACGTATCTCACAGATATCTTTCATTCAACACAAAAGTGAAAAGTTCTATTCCTGTTCAAAACATACCCTGCAGTCTGAGTCACAGACGGAAGAAATGACAGCAGGTCTTTTGTTCAACTGAGGGGATGTGTTTAAGTGTTTTATGGCTTACTCACTTTCCCGCCAAACGAGTACAGAGGAAGGAAGCGTCGTTGCCATAGTAACCAGGCTGTAGGTAGTCTTACAGATTTGAGTCTTTATCGCTCAACGTTCGTAGCGCCATCTGTTATTAAAAATCGACATGAGAAAGGGGTATTAAACGCTCTTAAAAGAGTATGTGTAGAATTTTTTAAATATTGACTTGAGAGCTTTACAATGATGACCAGTCATTTTTGCAATTAGAGTGATGCATAAATCCTCCACTCTTTATTTACCTGAATTTTTTTTTTTTTTTTTTTTTTTTTTTTGTCTAGTATTGATAATAAGTAAATATATGATTTGCATTACAGCAATTACTTTGAGGTATAATTAAAGACGATATAATTGAAATAAACGTTTTGTTCAAGATATATGAACATGAGCTGTAAAATTATGCTTTATAAATGTTATAAAAATTTATGTCTATTTATGCAAAATGAAACAACTATTAAAAAAAAAACTAAATGACGAAGGAAAAAAACGTGTGTGGGTTTTTAAAGATTAAAAAAAAAAAAGAAAAAAGAAAAAAAAAAAGGAAAAAAGAAGAAGAAGCTGAATTCTAAGGATAAGCAGTAAGCTCTGAAAATAACATGTTTTCCTTTAGAGTTTGCTGTTTTACTCCTTAAAACTCAAATTTTTCTACTCCTTAAGATTAAATTTTTTCCCGTTCTTTGCTTGTTGTTCCTTTTTTATTCCTCACGTTTTTGAATTTTAATAGATGAACCTTTCTGTAAATTATCAAAATGCATAACTGCATAGTTTATTAATACGTGAAAAATTCTTTTTTTTTATTACGTCGAAAATATGTACATGTTTTCAAATGTCATTCTTTTAAAATACAAGTCTTATTTTGCAGTTATGCATTACAGGTACTAGTAACTACTTATTGAATTGCCTAATAACTGCCTTCTTTGCCTTATTTCTGCTTTTGCAACTGATAACAGTAGAATATTAAAAAGGTAAAGTAGTTGATTACACAATCTCTTAAACTGGTTCGGCACTGCAGACTGTTTGGGGGGGGAATAAGCTTAAACAGATTATAATATAAATCAACATTTTTAATGCCAGAGTGTAACTTGAACATGGTTTCATACAGGAGAAAAGAAATGGAAAAAATGTGCATACATACATTGCGAAAAAGAGTTACGTCATCGCTGTGCAGATAAGCGCAAACTGTGCATGCATTAGAAGAGCTCTTAAGATAAGCTCTACACTCATATATTTGATACAATCCCCCTTTTCCACAATTGGCGACTAGAAAAAAAAATAATAAACATTAATCATTTACAGTCGTTCCAATTAATTTACAACACTTAGGATGTTTTGAAACAATGTTTTTGTCAGTGCATCAGCAGATATTTTCTCTGTTGGCAGTTATTTAACGTCTATTTCATTTCTTTCATAAATCTCATGCATGATGTGATGTCTTATCTATCTGCTTAGTTAGTGCATGAGTGATAAACAGAATTTTTCGTAAATTTTTGTGCACCTTCATTATCACAACATACAATGGTTGGATATTCAGCATTGAAATTTAATTCTTTCAGAAAATGACGTAAATAAACTGCTTCTTTTAGTACTGTCTGAAAGACAAATGCACTCTCCTTCAGTACTTGATAATGCAACAGTTTGTTGTTTTGATATTTCCCATGTTATTGGATTTCCGGCAAGCTAGAATAGTTAACCTGTATAGGATTTTCTAGTATAAAAATCAGACATCCAATTGGCATCAGGATACCGAATAAGTGCTTCTCCAGTCTTTTGAAACTTTGGACAATAATTTTCAGTCCATAAAGAGACTTGGAAAGCATACACAGTCAGGATTACTTTGGTCCTCAAAAGTATCTAAGAACGCACTTTGCAATCAACCAGTGTAATTATCCAGGATTGTTATTAAATTGGCTCAGGTGATTCACAGCACATGTAATATCTGGCCTAGTAAACATGGAAAGATACATAAGCAAAACAATTACATGGTGATAAGGTGTATTGTTCATTTCTTCCATTTCACTTTCAGAAGGACACATATAACTGAATTTTACACTAGGATCTAAAGAAGTTGCTACTGGTTTTGCATCTTGCATATTAAACCTATCAAAAATATTATCAGCATATTTATGCTGAGATAAACTGATAGAATTATTATTTACATCTTGATTAAATTCTATTACAAGACAATAATGAAGTTTGCCCAAGTCTTTAACATGGAATTCTTAAGAAAGTGAATCTTTAAATTCAGCATATAAACAATAGCTATTTGTTGTTATTATTATGTCATCTACATATAAAATTAGAATAAACTCACACTGAGTCTCTTGTAAACACTTTTTGAGCTTTTTGTCTACTTTTAAATACCATTGTCGTCCACTTTGTTTCAAACCATAAAGAGACTTTTGCAAAGCATACACATAGTCAGGTTTATTTTGGTGTTCAAAACCTTTAGCTTGTTCCATGTAAATTTCTTCTTTTAAATCTCCATTTACATAAGCCATAACAAAATCTAGTTGACATAGAATAAGGTCCAAAGGTTTCATTAAAATCAATTCCAGGTTCCTGTGCAAATCCTCTGGCAACTAATCAAACTTTTCTCTTTTGAACTGTTCCATATGCATTATATTCCATTCTAAGAGCCCAATGACATCCTATTATCTTTTTGTTTCGTGGTCGTTCATGCAGCATTTTTAACAGGTGCTTCATATTCAGTTTGCATAGAATTATGCCATTCTTCAGCATATCTTCCATTTAATGCTTCTTCTAATGTCGGATTTGTATCACCTTCAGCAATTTGTGCTTCTTCCTCTTTTATGTTCATTATTGCGGTACTTTGTTTTTGGTCTTCCCAGTCTTAATTTTTTTTGGCCGACCTGGCCACCTTTTGATCTGCAGGTATTTCTTCAGAATTAGAATCTTCTTTTTGAGATGACTGAGCAGATGCTTCTGCCATATTTGAGGAGTCCTCTGTTATTTCACCAGCCAATATTTGCTTAACATTTGAAGGATCTTCCTTCTTTTTATCAGGTATATTATCGAAAATAAATAAATAAAAAAAAAAAAAATCTTTAGCATAGTACAGTTTTCAAATTCATCAATAAATCTAACATCTATCATCAATTTTTTTGGAATTTTTATTCTACAGCCTGTATGGCTTTCGATTCATTCAAGTATCCTACAAAAATATTTTCTGACCAAGGATCAAATTTCCCTCTAACCTTTTATTAAGTATAAAATATTTCTGCCCAAATACTTTGAAGTCAGATACAGTTGGCTTGATGCCAAAAAAGAACTCGTATGATGTCTCATTTCTCCTTGACTTCGATTCCCAACCATTATGTATATATAAGCAGCAGAGTTCAAGGGTTCAGCCCAAAAGCATTTGGGAAGATTATAGTAATAAAGATCTGGACAATTCTGTTAAATTCATGTGTTCAACTCTTGAATTTTGTTGGGGAGTCATCGGTGCCAAGAATTGTCATTTAATCCTGCATTCTTGAAGATATTTATTGAACTCTTGTCTGCCATAATCGAGACCATTAGTGTGAATGAAGGATTTTTATTTTCTTACCTAGATGGTTTTCAGCCACAGCTTTGTATATAATGAATGAATTTTTTACTTCGTCTTTAGTTTTAAGAAAACTAACTTCGACATAATACAATTTGTCGTTTATGAAGGTTACAAAATAATGCGAACCAGCACGGATGAGACTCTCATAGGTCCACACAAATCTGAGTGAATCTTATTCATTAATTTATCACTTTGAAATTTTGATTCTTTTTGAAAAGGTTGAACGGTTTGTTTACCTTGGATACAGACTTTGCAATCTTTTTGAGATTCTACATCATTAAAATTTAATTTTCTAACCATGTTATCTGATTTAAGTCTTTTCAAATCAGACTCGTTTAAATGACCTAATCTGCCACTTTACAAATGCTACTTCCCTCTGCTATTGCAGCTGCTTCAGTGCTTGGATATATATAATAAAGATCACCTTTACTTCTCCATCAGGCTTGTCTAGTGAGATTAGGCATCATGGTGCCTCTGACTTTGCAAATGATATTTATAAAAGTACACAATTCAAACTTTTTTTATGAATGTAATGCTTATGTATTATTATGGTTCAAACCTTATTTAATAAATATTGAATATTAATATTTAAAATACAATAGTATTTAAGCTTATTTAATATATTATATTAATAATTTATTCATATTTTTAATAGGAATTTCTCTGGAGAAGAGATCAAATGTCTTCAAGTGGATTTTCATATACTTTCATAATCTAATAAAATTTAAAAAGTTTTTCATTGTAATGCAGTTTTATTTTCTTATAAATAAGTTCCCATCATTTTAATTTTATCCTTAGAATTAGTGCTCTGAATGCAGGTAATAGCTATTACAGTTTTAAACATATTTTATGAGTTTATTAACAGATAACTGTTGTTTTCGTTCTTTACTAAGATATAACACTTGTCTGCAATAGATATCAAAAAAATATGTGGAATTTAAGGTTTATTTCTTTCCTCCAATGGCCAGACACTTGACTGACGGCAGTTCATAGCCCTTTAACTGTAAGAAGTTCACCTTCAGAATGACACATCCAAATAATGCAGTAGTAAAACATAATGATCTCAAACTACCCACTCTAAGCAATTTTAAACAATCTGGAGGAGATTTATTTGAATTATGTATTTGGGTTTTTATGTATTATCCGCTGAACCTGAAAGCTGGCAGATATCTCACCAAAGTTCCTACGAAATTCTGATTAAACTAACATCACTTTGTTTAATAAACAGTCAGTGTTCGAACCATTTCTTTTTGGTGCTTCTTAAAAAGGCTTTCAATAATTTCACCTATTTGGCTAAATTCTCCAGTTTTACCAGAAGTTCTCAGAAGGTAACTAGTACAATATAAAGTCTTTAATCCGGACCTCAAAGCTACAAACTTTTTGCGCAGGCGTAAACGCATAATACGTTTACGCATGCGCATTTAATGTATAACAGATGGTATAAGCTAGGCTAAAATTATCTAATTATCTATTTCAGTTAATGTTGCAGATTGTGTTGTTCCTTAATCTTCTCATTGGATCCAGCTTATTATTTTTTGCAGACTATTAGAGCAATTTTATAAAAAGTAAGCTTGAACTTTCGATTATGTCAAAAAGAGTTTCCAATTCTGGAGCTGCCAAAGGATCTACAAAGCGAAAGCATGTTTTTATATCCATTAAACAAAAAGTGGAATTGCTGCAAAAAAAAAAAAAAAAATAAAGGCATGAAGAATGTGACAGAAAGGTGATTTGTTTTTCTAACGATTCCGAAATCCGTTTATCAATTTCACGCTGCTCTGCGGAGGGGGGGGGGACGTATCGGCGTGCAATGAACTGGAAGTTGATCGGTCTGCACTATCCTCATCTTCAGGGCAGATGTTTTTATTTTATTCGACTTATAATTCCTTACTAAACGTAGTGTTTCATCTCGATGCACTCCGATATGATTTAAATCATAATCAAGTTTTCTGGTTGCAATTTTCTAATTTCGACTACGCGTAATGTATGCTTTACGCATGCGCGCATTGAAAGAAATGTTTAATAAAGTAAACAAATAAATATTAAGCCTTTTTTTTTTTTTTTTTTTTTTGTAAATTTTGATACCCTTTAGATTGTAATTGCTCTTTATTTTATAAATTACGGTTTCATATTTTTAATTGTATAATTTCTGTATGCCATCTTACCAGATTTAAATTGATGATCTATAATCAGGAAAAACCCCTAATCCGGAATCGCCGAAGTCCCGACGAGTCCGGATTAAAGACTTTACAAACTTTCTCCAGGTAACCCTTTCAGCCTGTTACAGATTTGTCATCCATATTGAGTTGACTATATCATCTCCATTGATACACAATTTTTTTTTTTTTTTTTTTTTTTTTAAAGCAGCAGAATCATGGAGGTAGGAAAGAGAGGAGGGGCCATTCCGCGCTAGAAGTGAAGCACTGCTTTGAAGCTTGGTTCACCAAACAGGGTGTTCTTTGTTTACATTCAGAAGCTCGCTTGACAAGATTCTAATAGTATTTCGACACACGACAGTTCCATAGAAATCGAAAAAGGGACACTCTCGCATGAAAGAAACATTCATAGTGTAATGGATAATAGCAATTAGTATAGTTTACTGACATTTACGCAAAAATGACATCTTGGTTATTTTTCGATAACTAACAACAGCGATTTTGATTATGAATCTGTTTTATAAAATTCTAAGCTGTTG